GTGTGTGTGTGTGTGTTTTCGTTCCTCGATGTATTATGATGTGTGACCTTTCTGGCTCAGAAGCCTGGATGCTCCTGTCTTAACAGATGACAGCCATGCCGAGCTTAGCAACGCGGCTTGCTTTGTATTCAGCGTGCTCAGTAGCTGCCAAACCCAGATCAGATATTTGAACTGAAAAATCCATAGATATGATGACCTCATATCCTTTGTTCGGCACCTAATCCGTTGATTGATCGCTAATGCTGGTTGCCTTGGGAAAATGTTGACACAGACGTTAGCTTTCATCACTTACCCACAAAAATATGATGTGAGCATTGATTTTCTGGAGGGATTAGACTGTTATTGAATATAAAGAGCTGGCTTGCAAAATATATAGTCATGAATATTTATGGAAGTGTCTGTTTCCAACTGTAACAGTTTCTCAGCCTGTCAGCGTTGGCAGTACTGACTTTATCTGACACAGATAACCCCGATCTCTTGTGAGTCATTTATTTCTATGAGTATTCTCTCCACTTTTGTGTTTCTTGTCCTAAGTGTCTTTAATTGTAACAGTAAGATGGATCGCACAGCCAATTTACTCACTCACTGACACACTTGTTCATTCCTTCACACATTACCAGGTGCGTGCTGTGCTGGAGGAGATCATGGAGAAGCTCCCGGAGGAGTTCAACATGGCCGAGCTGCTGGGGAAGGCAGAAGAGAGGACTCCCTACCAGGTGGTGGCGCTGCAGGAGTGTGAGCGCATGAACCTCCTCACACAGGAGATCAGACGCTCCCTCCGAGAGCTCAGCTTGGGACTCAAGGTGAGGAGACTGTAGCGCTAGTTACATTTATTGTAAAGCTTTAGTTACTAGTGACTTTCAGGTTAACATTTTTTATTAAAAATATATGATTAGTTCATGAAATGCAATAAATTGTTTATAATTAAACCAGGGGTTTGGAAAGAATCTGCCAATGCAGTATGTATCACAATACCAGGGTTATGAATCAATATATTGTGATATAGCAAGGTGATATATTGGTTAAACTGTTACAGTATAAAGAACGCACCACCATATGCATAAAATCTAAGGGACAAAGTCAACTTTTTAATGCAACCAGAGCAGTGGGATCTGCATTTGCACTTATCTCAGTCCCTGTAACATCCTACATAGCACCACTTTTACACTACTACTGAGCAAAGAAAAGATATGTGCTTACTTCTTCCTGTCTCAAGTTACACTGTAACATTAGTGGAAGAGTCATATGGCTGAAGATAGATTACAACACTGCCACAAATCTTTGCATGTAAGCTATTCCTTAAAAATCGATAGTGCTTTTAGAATCAATACAGTATCACAAAACATAATATTGTGATATTCAAGTGTATCCATTGTGGCTTGTGACCTCGTACAAAAAAGCAGTGTCTAGTTGGGGATCCTTGTCATGTTTCAGATG